ATATATATATATATATATAATAGTTAAAACAAAAAATTGTTAATTTGTTTAGAAAAAATAAAATAAATTGATTTATCCAAAAAAAATTCGGTTCTTATTCGGTTCTAGGTCTAGAACCGAAAACCGAATCAAAAAATTTTCGGTTCTTCGGTTCTCGGTTCTTCGGGTTTTTAAGTTAAGAAAACCCGCTCGATTCAGTTCGGTTCGGTTCAGTTCGATTCGGATATTTTGTCCAACCCTAAATATAGGAAGAATTGCAATGTGTTTGTAGCTAGACAAATGCAATGTGGACCATTTTATCTATAGAATCTTATGCGTTAGATCGATGAGTCATTGGATTTCTCTTAAATGATAAGCCTTATAAAGAACGTATTGATTTTTATCAAAAGAAGACGAGATTAATTGAGCTATTCAAATGGGTATATGTCAAAAAAAAATAGTATTCGCTGTTATACTGTGTGCTATCAGTAGTAATTCTTCAATTTTAAAACATTGAGATAGCTGCTTGGGTGGTCACTTGAGAACTGACGGTTAACGGTTCCATTAATACTAAAGTCGCATGATGTTATCATCCATTTTCTTTACTGTATTATTATACTTTATTGCATGTAGCGCTTTTAAAGATTTAATTAAACAAATATTTCATATTAAAAAAAGTCAAAAACAGTGTCAGCATAACACAATTAGGTTCATAAATCCTTTAGTTACATACATTTCATCTGTTTCTCGTAGAATTGCAACAACTTGTAAAAGCATGTTCGCATACGTTGGCACAAGTTGTGTACTTGATAATTTAAATTTTGATGTGATTGGAATTTTGAAATTTTATTTATTTAAGATTCATCGTTATCTATTTGGGCAAGTCAAATTCTATATTTGGTTAACTATCATGTCTTTGCTAAATTTTTCATAATTGAGCAACGATGAAACTTGAAGTCAAAATATTTCAAATATTCATAGTAAAGAGACATTAATGGGTCGAGCCAAGCGGACTCGACTTTTCCACCTCCAGCCTTCAGGCTTAAGTCATTCGTCCCATTGATTATTTTAATTAAAATTTTAATTTTGATATTTGAATTAAAAAAAGAGAGAAAAGGTAAATTTCAAATCCATCAAAGCAGCCACATATAATCTAGGTGATTGCTTTATCAATCCCTGATTGGTTGGTGCAAGTTGAGTCGCAACATTCTACTTGCACGGAAAGATCATGATTCGAATCGACTCGACTCGACTCAATCCGTGATTGGTTGGAACAAGTTGAGTCGCATACAACTCATGCCACTCAACCTCCCTTGTGATTGATTAGACATTTGTCAAATCACAAATATTGTTCACTTTTGCCTCAAGTTAGGTATAGGAATTGCCTGAAAGGAAACAAATCATAAATTACAAATATATCACTCTTCATTAAAAAATATATATTGTACGGATTTTAAGCCCCTAGACACATACATGTTCTCACATGTCAATTAAAGTGTCATTATTTCCTCAAATACTATTTACTCGCACGCAAAAGATAAAAAAATCGATTATATTTTTAATTATAGTGTGTTTGGTAGGAATTTTTGGGGAAAGAATTGATTTTTAAATAGTGATATGATGGGAAATGTGTGGTGAAAAAAAAAGAAAAAAGTATTGATGTGATGGAAAATATTATTTTATTGAAGAATGTGTGGTTGAAAATGAGAATTGATTTACTGTAGAAAATAAAAATATGTACCAAACAGTCCCATAATCTTTAAACATGCCAACTTTCCAAATCATTAAACATTAATGTAGTTGGGTTTTGAACAAACTGAACTAAAACCTCGAAGAAATCTACAGTCACCAAACAGTTATTTTCCATTACTCTGTTTTTCGACTAGTTAACAGACAGAAGTTTAACTGTTACAGCAAAGGTAATCACACGACTTACAACTCAAAAATTATCTGCAATGGGAACGCCATAGTACAAGTCAAACAATGACAGACAGAGGCGATTCGAGGGAGGCGGTAGTCTCTACAGTACAAGTTTGAAACGATTTCAACGACGAATCTGTCTGCTCTGCACCGTTGATGCACAAACAATAGTTCATTCTAAATAGTAGATATTATTCCATGGGGATGTTGCTGAGCTAGGTATTCATGCAAAATAATGCATGAATAAGAATCTACCTTCGAAACTTGTGCTTATTGTTTCCGACTACTTTTCTCTTCAATGCCTGATTTCACAAATCTCATTCGGAGGACTTGAAGAACATCTTCAACTTTTACTCCTCTACGGGCCAATAGAACCATGGCATGATAGAGCAAGTCTGCCATTTCTGAGGCAGTCCTTGATTTGTCCTCGTTTTCCTCAAGGGTTCGGCATAACTCGTCAGCCTCTTCCCTGTACGAAAGGCGTCAATAACTAGTGTTAGGAAAAATTGCTCCTGCTTCTACACCAATCTTCCACATTAAAATAAAAAAAATTATTATGTTATGTTAATTGTTTCTGACTTTTAAGTAACAAAAGTAGATAATTTTCAAAGTATTTACTCTTCATATTGATACGAATATGACACGTGGAAACATAAAAATCAAAATCAAAAATAAAAAAAAAATAAAAAATTTAAACCATGTTCTAGGCACAATTTCGTGAAAAAGTAACTAATGTACCCCTTCATTTCAGCTATAACTTAAAAGAAACTCATTTATAAAGTGATATAGAAAAATGGTTGAGAAAATCATGACACCTGATTTTCGAGCTGAGTAACTTGTCATCGACCAACAAGCGTTTAGTCCAGGAGGGTTTGCCACTTGTAGAACTTGATAGTTCTTCTTTCCGTTGGTGTATTGTAGATTCTAACGAGTATAGAGTTGTCAATGCAAGCTTATTTACATCAACCTAGCAATAAATAAGGCAATATAAATAGGTCACCCTCCATTCACTCATTCAAAAAAAAAAAAGGCAATCTAGAAAAGGTTCAAATTAACAAGACAATCGAGAGTAAGCCAGAAGAAGACAAATAAATGTGTTACCTCTGGATTATTTAGGAAATCATCAACTGAGGTGTAATAGCAGGTCTCAGAGCCCGTGTGGCAAGTTGGCCCATCAGGCTTCCCAAGGTAAATTATCTGACAAATAGTTCAAACTTGTGCTTCACATAATAATAAACCAAAAGTCACCAGATAATTATATAGAAACATTTCTGTGCCAATATTTCTTAAAAACTTACAGAATCACGATCACAATCAAGAAAAATATCGGAAATATTGATGAAATTATTGGATGTCTCTCCCTTTGTCCATAAAGCTGACCGCGACCTACTATAGAATGTTGCCTTTCGGGAGGAAATGGTTGTTAAAAGTGCCTCTCTATTGACAAACCCTTGCATTAAAACGGCTCCTGTGTCAACATTTTGAGCTATGGCCACCGCCAAACCTTTGTCGTCCCATTTGACACTATCTAACAATGGATCAACCTAAATTAATCTTGTTAGATGGAAAATGCAAAGTCAACAAAAAATGAGAGACAAATTATTGCACTAAAAGATTTCAGAACGATCCAGAAAAACATACAGGATACGTACAATAAAAAATTATTTAGTTACTCAACATACATCCTAATTGATTTTAATTAACCAACAAATACTGATTGTTGATCAAGATATGGATTGGCTATTGAGCAGATAGCAATCAAACTAAAATATTTATAAAGAAAAGAAAAAAAAAGAAATGTTCACAAGATTCATGACAAACGAACCGCCCAAAGTTTGGTAAACAAGTTTTAAGCAGTCATTTTCTAGATAAATGGTTGCTACTGACATTAAATCTTCTTTTCCAGCCAAGTATGTTTGTTTTCATAAAATGTGGTGTTCAGATGTAACTAATCTAATCATTAAGAATTGACTATCAGCAACGATGAACAACTTCTTTTTTGTACCAGACATTCAACGGACACTGCAATCATGACTGCAGGGACACCTGCCTATGTCTGATAAACTAAATGGTTAAAACAAGTCTTAGAATCACTTTTTCCAGTCATGTCTCTTTTCAAAAAATATGGTGCTCGTACATAACTTATTTAACCATTAAAAATAGACTACCAGAAACTACAAAAAAGTAATGACTCTTTTCATAGAATGTGGTGTTCAGATGTAGCTCACTGCATCATTAGAAATTGACTAGTGGCAACAATGGACACTTTCATTTCTACACCAGACATTCAACGGTCCCCACAAACATGACTGTGGTGACACCTACCTATGATTGATGAAATCCATGATGAAGAACAAGACACAAGCAAGTAAATACAGAGGTAAAATATTAAAACCATAGTTCATATTCATGATAGTAGCAGTAATCAAGCAGCTGGCAATCAAGATGGTTGTGAGAGAGACTAAATGCCCACAAAAATTGAAGAGACCTAATTGGATTGCCAAAGACGTGCTAGTTTGAATTCTTGGTCTACAATCAGTCGAAGTTTGAAAGATAGGAGAGTGAAAAGGAATTGCACCGTTCCAAATTGTAGAAGGAATCTTTTCCTTTCTCTCATGTTTGGTATATTGCTATAAAATCTATTACAGACTTACTCCTTGAGGTGTGCTTCAAGTGAGGCTTTCATCAAATGCCTCATTTTCAGCCTTGAGTGTCACTAGTCAAGGCTTATGGCACTAGGATGACTGAGATGTGAACTCCATTGTCCTATCTGAGATTTCAGAGCTTCTGTTTCTATAACCTTCTACGGTTTGTTTTGATTTCCATTAACTAACTTTTCATGGATGGCAAAGAAGAAAGCACATGCCAGGTGGACACATTAGAAGAACCAACCAACTAGTTGACTGGAAAGGAGGTTCGATAAGTAAAATGGTTGACTGATCCATAATCTCACCGGGAGAACAAAGTGATATTTTCCTTATACAAAAGCAACTAAAAACAAGCTCAACTGAGTCAACTCACATGCTACTTCACCCAAGCTCAAAACCTCAACATCTGCAATTGATGGCAAGCTGGAGTGTATTTATCTTTATAACGAGCATGAAAGTTCTCTAACATTCACCTTAGTTGGTTTACAGCAATGCCACACAGGCATTAGCTGTGGTCGTAACAAAACTTGCAAAATGTCAAAGAGCGAAAAAAAAAATAACCATCCTCCCCCCTAATACAAAAGTTATTTCTTTATCCCAGGGTAAATAGTAATGTGAAATCCAGATGTAGCTCAAATAATTAGACAAAAAACTATTGAGCAACGATGGACACCTTCAAGAGATATCAAAATGACTGATAGAAACCCATCAGTCATCTCTTCTTCTCTGTCTTTTGTTTCCCAGACATGTAACAGCATTAACCATACAAAGTGGTAAACACCTGACTAATCTCTGGAATTTCAGGCTAAAATGTGAAAATGAAGGGATAAAATAGATGAATAGTATATTAATTACTAAGCTTATACATGTAATCTCAGGTACAGGTCAATTCAAAGTAGATGTTTATATAATTACTTTATGCTTTTCTTGCATACTAATGGCCCATCGTACTGGAATTATGTTTAATCAACAAAAAAATAAGGACAAACTAACACAACATGTAAAAAGCATTATTATTATAATTATTAAGAACAATAAAACAAGATATTTATAATCTGCTAAACCCATGTTTATTCTGCAAGATTTCACAGTTTAACACATGATGGAGCATGTTTGTGTATAATTTGAAGAGTTCTCAATTATTCCACCATAAACTATGTGAAGTAATTGTACAAAATTATCATAGGCAATATTTAATAAGGAAATGTATGTTTCAAATTGACCAGATGTATTGATATATTACACCAACCGAAGAGTTATTCAATAAATGCAGAACAAAAAAATGCAAGGCAAGTGAGGTTCACAGACTGTAAAACAATAAGGGAATCCAAATCAAAACATATAATGAGTGAAAATTAGTGAATGTACCTTGGCTCCTGTGCTCAAATCTGGATCTGAATTTTTAAGACAAGCAAATACAGGGGACACCCTGCAGCTGAGCCCAACGGTAGAGTTAAAAGGATGGCGTTTGGAAGAAATTTTCAGAAATTGAATGCAGTTAGGATACGAAACTGCCATCTTCGTTCCACCAATCCTGGAAAAAGAAGAAACTCATCGTTTCAGACGCTGGAATGGCAATAGCAACTAGCAAACTAGAACAACAATTAATCAATGAAAAGGTGATATCCCAAAAAGGTAAAGATGTCTGCATTCTGCTGAAATTATTATTCTTGCTGAATTGAAAATCCTTAACGACATTACATTATTCAAATGTAAACAAAGAAACGAACCAGGTAATGCGATAAACGTGAATTTCTCAGAAAAGGAACAAGGGTTACATATCATATCAATAAGAATGAATTGATGACAAGGCTCTCTATCTTTTTTGTAACCGTAAATTAAGTAAACTGTTTCCTACACTCGACTTGAAAACAAAATCTTGAAACTAAAATGCCAAGAAACCCAAATGTGCCGATGAAAAAAAGCGAAAAAAAATATAAAAAATTGAAGTTTTTAGCACAGAGATCTTACCCAAGCGCCAAATGATAAGCCTCTGTATTCTATTCTTCTTCTTACTCTTCTTGCAGAATTAGGAGTACAAAACGAATAATTGTACAACCATATACACTGATACTCAAACAGGCTACTGATAGATGAATGCTTGCGTTCAGATGTTTGGTGCTTACGCGAATTCTTATAGGTGGGGTTGCGGCGCTAGGGTTTGGATTGAACTTTGAGATGCATTTCGTATCCAAAAAAATAATAGTAATAAAAATAAAACAATGGCCCCAACATAATCTATTATTTGGACAAACAGTTAGTCTATATATATATTCTTCAAAAATCATTTTTTCCCCTCAAATTCATTATTTTTCCTACTTTTAAGTTTTCTTCATGCGTTCTTTAAAAATATTATTTTTTAATTGAATATTTGGACAAAAAATCATTAAAACGAGTTGCAATAATTCATTGGCCCCTGTTTGACACCCATTTTTTATCTCATTCTCATTCTCATTTTTCTACAGTACTCATTTCTAACCACACATTCTTCAAATAACATAATATTACACATAAACCCAAAAATTCTTCTTACTTTTTAACCACACATTCTTTACATCAATCACTATTCAAAAACTCATTCTTCAAAATAATGGGTGTCAAACGGGGGCTGAATATTACGAAAAGAAAGCAGTGAAAAAAAGTCAAGAAAACGAGTGTAAATATTAAAAAATTCATTGTGATTAAAATGTGAATGTGATGTGGTTAATAAAAACATAGTCCATGTTTGGCAATTGTTATTTTCAAACTTTTTTTTTTACATATTAATTTTTAACTACGCATTCACAATAAAATATTTTGTACCTTTATCTATTTTTAATACACAAAATAAAGAAATGGACAGTAAGAATAAAAAGGCCTGCCTTGTGACGTTTAAGTCCACGTTAAGCAGTGAAAAATATAGATGACTGTCTTTTTCTATTCCTTCCTCGTATGTAGAGATGTCCAAAAGTTCCGAACCGAATACCGAAACTAAATAATTTTTAATTTTTTATATTGAATTAATTAAATTATTTTATTTTTTCTAAACAAATTAGCAAATTAATTAAATAAATCAGATTATTTCATAATTTTAATTTTAAAGTCCAAATCATTTTTAAAGGTTATTAGCCCATTTTAATTTGAAGCAAATGAATATACTTTACGTAGTGTTACTGTAATATAAATATCTACTTTTTGATATTTGTATGCATTGAATTAATCTTATTAGACGGTTATTTATTTATGGAAAATGCTAAGTGTACATCACCTCCTACATAAGGGTGTACATAATGGACATCGGCACCTCCCCATTGGAGGAAGTGCCGACCCCACCTGCACTTTCTCCAATGGAGAGGCGTCGGGTGTCCATTATGGACACCCTTATGTAGAGGATGATGTACTTGTAGTATCACCCTTTATTTATATGTTTTTGAATTGGACTACGTTAATTTGTAAAAGTTACGAATNGAATTGAGCTATGTTAATTTGTAAAAGTTACGAATGAAATGGCACTAGTTGTATTTATGTAGTGTTACTGTAAATCTTAAAAAAATTAATTATGGTACGGAACCGACCCGAACCCGAACAGTTCCATAATTATATTTGGACCCGACGGTTCCATTTATTAAACACCCGAAAGTTTTGGGTCGGCTCGGTTTTTAAAAAAAAAAAAGAAAAAGCCCTTTTCCATTCCCAAATTTTCATCTATGAAGGGAGGTTTTATTGAAATGGGTATTGGGGAGAGCTAAAATCGATTTTCATGTGGAAATTTTTGTGCCCGACCTAAAACCTTTTTAGTTCAGTGTAGGCTCTGTCACGAGCAATGGACTGGATGTAGAATTGTAGATTCTTGAGAAGCTAAAGGTGCAAGTCGAATGTTGGGTGTGAGTTAATGAAGCCTGCAGTGCACAAGCCAATGTACAGAAGATGGGATGCATGCAAACACAATCTACCACTAGAAATATGCAGACACAAGTGAAAATTGGATGCAGACATGGCTATGGTAAGTAGTTGCAACGACTAGATCAAAGGCAAAGTAGGCATTAAGGCTATCTGCACATCTTAAGTTTCAATTTGAAAATCCCACGACGTTTTATCATTGTGATGAATTTGGGGAAGACGTCTAAGCACATCATTGGGTATGCTTATAAGTATCGAGGCTCGTCAATTTTGTGACTCGAAATAAATAAATTCTGAGTCTCATACAATAATTGTGTCTCATACTTTGTTTATAATGTTTCATCATAAAGCCTTGAAATATATAGTAGAAAGTCGTGGACAAACACTTTTAAGGCGTTTACTATAAATATATCTCAGTGAAAAACTTGGATAACATCCATTGAATCAAATAGATGCTTATCATCCATTATAAAGAGGCCAACGGGGCACAATTGTATCGAATTTAGCTAGGGAGAGTCAAATTAAGTCAAATCTTTGTAAAACTCTTAAAAGTATAATACATTGCTAGTATTCTTATTATGCCTATATTTCGTAGATATTACAATCAAATTTTTAGTAAGTTTTGATAAAAGTTGATGTGATGTGTGATTACAGAGGTGAACGTCCCGTAAAATATATGATTAAAATTAATTGTTGATTTTGACTTAAATTTTAATAAGATTTTTTAGCAATAACAAACATGGGGCTAAATCTCAATCTTGTAGATTTTTATGAATGAAGCTCAAAATAAAACAAAAATGAAAACTATATATCAAGCACAACGAAAATTTCTACGATGGTGCGACCCTTATTCAAAATCTAGGCATTGGTGGTACTAATGTTGAATAATGACATTAACTACGTGGGTTAAGGCAACGATGTTTCGTGGTTTTGTGGGTTTTGTTTTTTGCTATATATTCGACGTAGGGTGTGGCGATTTTTGGGTTTATTGTATTATTTATCTTATTGGTTGTCTTCTCTTGTATTTCTAGAGCTACAAGAAATTTTCAAAGTCTCAAAATATATTTTTGTTATGAAAATAGAGTAAAATGTTGCAATAAAAGAAAGCACAAGAAGCTATTGTCTACAACATCAACGAAGCTGAACAAAACAACAGACAAGCCAACAACAATATCAGTTTTTGATCGGAGATAAATGTTTTTTTTTTCTTGGAATTGGTTTAATTTGTGCATTTGGGAAATAATTTGGAGAATTGGTTTGTTGTGCTATAATTTTATGGGATTTTTATCAGAAATTTCTTTGATTGAGTTGTTGTGAATTTTATTTTGAGCATGGTGTAAAAACTCTATCTTTTTAGGGGTGATGTTAGGATATTGTTCATCTAATTTTCGACAATTGTTTAATATAAATTTTCTTAATAAGTTAATAGGTTTCCTTTAAAATATTGACCCGTGATTTTTGGAGGCGTGCTATAAATTACTTCGATTTGTAATTGATTATTATGACCTCTACTTGACATTTTTTGGCTTGTGTTATCTGATTCGTAGCCCAATGTATAAGAAATGCACTACAAGTGTAGAAATACACGTACAGTACAGATAAGACACATTGCGGGGGATGGGTGGTTTATTTTTTTTCAATATAAAATTAACACGGGTTGGGCCCCCTGTCTTTTTTCTGATTTTCTTATGTGGAATAATATTATGTACAAGCAGAATTTTTGCGTGTGTAAAAGCTTGGTAATGATTGAAGTTCCTTTGATATTTATATGTTATCTTAGTCCACATGAGTAGAATGATTCTCGCATTTGGGAAGATGGCTAAAGGTGTATTCTATTCCTATTGAAAACTATCGAAAGTTATCTTACGTAACATACATGTGACAAATGTTATTTGATAAATTAAATTGCCAATTTTTTATTGTCTCATACATCAAATAACAAACTATCACATGTGCTGCCACATATTATGATTATCGATAATTTTTACTATGAATAGAGTTACTCTTTCTCTATACACACAAAAAAATATACATATTAGAATTCTCCATCAAGCTTCTAATGGGTTTCTCAACCCTTCTAAACTTTGCGTTTGTTTGACCCACATTATAATGAGAGCAATGATAATTTTTTAGAAAACGTGTAATATTATTTTATTAAAAAATGTGCGATTGATAAAAAGAAAAAAAAAGAGTTATAATTCAATGGGAAATAATGGGGGCCAACAGAGGCTGCTTTTTATTTTATATTCAAATAAGGATATTATCTATTTCAATAAATTTTTTATTTTTATTTTTTAATTTTGGTTTTTATTTGGTGGGGATTTTCATCAGATGAAATATGTTGTTGAAAAATTGTGAAATTTCTACAAAATGTGTGATTAAAATTAATTATTTGTTTGGCACCCATTCTTTTGAAATTCTCTATAAATAGAGCTATATAATTCAAGTTCTACTTGAGCTTGATGAATATATAGCCCCCGTTTGACACCAATTATTTTGAAGAATTAGTTTTTGAATAGTGATTGATGTAAAGAATGTGTGGTTAAAAAGTAAGAAGAATTTTTGGATTTATGTGTAATATTATTTTATTTGGAGAATGTGTGGTTAGAAATGAGTACTGTAGAAAAATGAGATGTCAAACGGGGGCTAGTTTTAATTTATATTAAAATCTTATGTGGTTGTTTAATTCTCATTATTGTTAGAATTCATTTTTTCAATATACATTTTTCAATAAAATAACAAACGTAAATTTCTTTTTTCTTATTTTTTAATTATATATTCCATATCAACTTATGATTTCAATGTATTTTTGATTTTTTTTTAAAAAAAGGAAGAGTCGGTATGCAACTTGCCTTAAAAACGGTTTAAACCCGATAGACGATAGTTGACACTTGACAGACTACCACAAGAGTCAAAAGTCAACCGCTAAATTCTAAGTCCGTCAATCTCTCAAAGGACCCACCAATAAAAGCACTAATTAAGCTGCACCTCATCCCACTGGATCCCACCCCTCTCCATGGCGCGTCTACTTTTTCTTGCTTTTTTTGCTATTCACTCAATCTCTCTTTTTTGCTTTCGTTTTCGAATTTCTCTGTAAATCCAACCCCCTCGGCCATCTACGCATCTAAAATCTCTCTCCACCAATTTACCATAGTTGGATTTTTCGGTTCTCTTCCCTGCATCAGATACCGAAAGTATTTTCCTTTCATACAGCGACTTATAGTGTTTACAAGGCAATTTCGAATAAGATTTCAACTGTATTTTTTGCTCATAGCAAATTATAGAGTTCAGAAGGCAATTTGCAAGAAGTTTTCTACTGCGTTTAGCTTAGAAATGCATACGGGTCCGGGCCTCTCGCTTTCGCCGAGCTTCAATAGCTACTCTAACTATCACCTTGCAGAAATCGCAGCTCGAGTTGTGGAAGAATTCAGTAGTTCTGAAGAATTTTATGATGAATTTTGTATAGACAACAAAGAAAGTCCATCAACCCAAAAAGTGAAAGAAGAAGCAAATTCTGAAAGTGTAGAAAAAGAAAATGATGATGAAGATGAGGATGAAGAATTTGAATTCGCATTTGTTGCAAAAGAAGCTGAATTTTCTTCTCCAATTTCAGCCGATGAAATCTTCTGCAACGGTCAGATCCGACCAGTTTTCCCCATTTCCAATAGAGATTTACGGCTCGGAAATGTTGAAATTGAGAATGGAAATAAGATTACTGAAAATTCGGGTTCTTCGAAGGCTCCAAAAATTCGAGTTCCATTGAGGAAACTTTTTATTGAGGAAAGGGAAACGACGACGTCAAGTTCGTCGTCGGAGACGGACGAGCTAGAAAACCTTCCTCCAGGAACGTACTGCGTGTGGAAGCCAAAAGCAGCGGAGGCGACGGCGAGGCAGTGTAAAAAGAGCAGTTCCGCCAGTTCTTCCAAGCGGTGGAAATTTAGTGACCTTTTACACAGGACTAATAGTGATGGCAGAAAGGACAGTTTTGTCTTTTTGAATCCAAGCAACAAACAAGAGAGTGAGAAAACTGAAACGGCTAAAGTAACGCCGGCCGTGGTGGAAGCGGTCGCGCCGGGTACAAGGAAAGGCGATGAACGGCGGCGGGATGCGGTGGGGTTTTTTGATATTGTAAATGGGTTGAGTAGGAATCTTCGGCCATTTTAAGATTGTTGTTAATTGATTTTTATTAATTAAGTTTAAGTATATGATTAGTGGGTTTCAAGTTTTTAACTTTTAAGCTCATTATTTTGTACGTACTTTGAAGTTTGAGCAAGAAAAAGAATGGATTGTCCGAACTTTCGCTACAGAAAATTGAAAAGTATGATTGTTATGTAGAATTAGAAATAATAAGGGGATACCATATTATGAAAATTAATTTTTTTGACTCTTTCAAGAATGAAAAACAATAGACACCGATCACGTGTTGTCGAAAAATGCAGCTAAAGATAGATTTTTAAGTATCATTATTGATAAGTACAATGTAGGTCGAGCTCGAGCTCGGGACCTGAGGAATGTATTTTCAATTTGGCTTCAACGTCTCGTGACCTCCTCGACCATATCTCTTCGGGATTGTCTATTCTCGACCACTAGGTCTTCCTCGAGATCACAACTAAATCTCTTATTGTGCAGCCCTCGATTTGTTAGGATTCTCCCTTGTATCAAGGTTTATCCGAACCTAATAGAGATAGAATACTGCTGTTAATATGTTACCTCATCTTCAAAGGATCTACCATAGAAGTCTCATCCTTATCCAAACACATGGTTAGAACTCATAGGGGTTTCAACATTGTAATCCTACTAGGAACACACTACATACCTCTATAAATACATCATTTCAATTCATTGTCAGGTACGTTTTTACATAATTCTTTAACAATGTATCTTTTCATAAATTCTCTCTCCGACTTAAGTATTGGAGGAGCGACGAGGATATCTCGACGCCTTTATTTCAGGTACCGGAAGACCTCGTTCGTGCTCATTCTCAGACGTCAAGCTCAGAAGTTGACGGTACGATTTTTGATAGCATCAGTTATAATTAACCAAAATCGACTAGAGGGATGTCTTACTTAAAAGGTCGACTTTGAAACTCTATCAAATATGCATCAATGTACGTTATCCAAATCCAATCATTTCATGTGAATACAATTTTTTTTAAAAAAGATAAAAAGAAAATAAGTGTGGGACCTTGATTAGATACAAGAATTATCTATGTCACTAAGTCACTTTCAAGGTTGAATTGGCTTTGGTCATTCCTTCAATCAATTTTTCCATGTCAAATCCCACTCTCTAGGAAATTGGCCAAAAGGTAACATTCTCATTTCCACAAGGTCCAAATTTTTTTTATCAACTTATTCAACTAACAATACAAAATAAAGAGTACAGTACAAAACATCAATAAAAAAGCCTACGAATATCACGATGTGACGATCTGTAATCTTATCCATTCAATTAGCGAGTGCGAAAGAAAAATTCTCTATAAATAGAGCTATATAATTCAAGTTCTACTTGAGCTTGATGAATATATAGCCCCCGTTTGACACCAATTATTTTGAAGAATTAGTTTTTGAATAGTGATTGATGTAAAGAATGTGTGGTTAAAAAGTAAGAAGAATTTTTGGATTTATGTGTAATATTATTTTATTTGGAGAATGTGTGGTTAGAAATGAGTACTGTAGAAAAATGAGTATGAGAATGAGATAAAAAAATGGGTGTCAAACGGGGACTAGTTTTAATTTATATTAAAATCTTATGTGGTTGTTTAATTCTCATTATTGTTAAAATTCATTTTTTTGATATACATTTTTCAATAAAATAACAAACGTAAATTTCTTTTTTCTTATTTTTTAATTATATATTCCATATCAACTTATTATTTCAATGTATTTTTAATTTTTTTTTTAAAAAGGAAGAGTCGGTATGCAACTTGCCTTAAAAACGGTTTAAACCCGATAGACGATAGTTGACACTTGACAGACTACCACAAGAGTCAAAAGTCAACCGCTAAATTCTAAATCCGTCAATCTCTCAAAGGACCCACCAATAAAAGCACTAATTAAGCTGCACCTCATCCCACTGGATCCCACCCCTCTCCATGGCGCGTCTACTTTTTCTTGCTTTTTTTGCTATTCACTCAATCTCTCTTTTTTGCTTTCGTTTTCGAATTTCTCTGTAAATCCAACCCCCTCGGCCATCTACGCATCTAAAATCTCTCTCCACCAATTTACCATAGTTGGATTTTTCGGTTCTCTTCCCTGCATCAGATACCGAAAGTATTTTCCTTTCATACAGCGACTTATAGTGTTTACAAGGCAATTTCGAATAAGATTTCAACTGTATTTTTTGCTCATAGCAAATTATAGAGTTCAGAAGGCAATTTGCAAGAAGTTTTCAACTGCGTTTAGCTTAGAAATGCATACGGGTCCGGACCTCTCGCTTTCGCCGAGCTTCAATAGCTACTCTAACTATCACCTTGCAGAAATCGCAGCTCGAGTTGTGGAAGAATTCAGTAGTTCTGAAGAATTTTATGATGAATTTTGTATAGACAACAAAGAAAGTCCATCAACCCAAAAAGTGAAAGAAGAAGCAAATTCTGGAAGTGTAGAAAAAGAAAATGATGATGAAGATGAGGATGAAGAATTTGAATTCGCATTTGTTGCAAAAGAAGCTGAATTTTCTTCTCCAATTTCAGCCGATGAAATCTTCTGCAACGGTCAGATCCGACCAGTTTTCCCCATTTCCAATAGAGATTTACGGCTCGGAAATGTTGAAATTGAGAATGGAAATAAGATTACTGAAAATTCGGGTTCTTCGAAGGCTCCAAAAATTCGAGTTCCATTGAGGAAACTTTTTATTGAGGAAAGGGAAACGACGACGTCAAGTTCGTCATCGGAGACGGACGAGCTAGAAAACCTTCCTCCAGGAACGTACTGCGTGTGGAAGCCAAAAGCAGCGGAGGCGACGGCGAGGCAGTGTAAAAAGAGCAGTTCCGCCAGTTCTTCCAAGCGGTGGAAATTTAGCGACCTTTTACACAGGACTAATAGTGATGGCAGAAAGGACAGTTTTGTCTTTTTGAATCCAAGCAACAAACAAGAGAGTGAGAAAACTGAAACGGCTAAAGTAACGCCGGCCGTGGTGGAAGCGGTCGCGCCTGGTACAAGGAAAGGCGATGAACGGCGGCGGGATGCGGTGGGGTTTTTTGATATTGTAAATGGGTTGAGTAGGAATCTTCGGCCATTTTAAGATTGTTGTTAATTGATTTTTATTAATAAAGTTTAAGTATATGATTAGTGGGTTTCAAGTTTTTAACTTTTAAGCTCATTATTTTGTAAGTACTTTGAAGTTTGAGCAAGAAAAAGAATGGATTGTCCGAACTTTCGCTACAGAAAATTGAAAGTATGATTGTTATGTAGAATTAGAAATAATAAGGGGATACCATATTATGAAAATTAATTTTTTTGACTCTTTCAAGAATGAAAAACAATAGACACCGATCACGTGTTGTCGAAAAATGTTGTCGAAAAATGCAGCTAAAGATAGATTTTTAAGTATCATTATTGATGAGTACAATGTAGGTCGAGCTCGAGCTCGGGACCTGAGGAGTATATTTTGAATTTGGCTTCAACATCTCGTGACCTCCTCGACCATATCTCCTCGGGACTGTCTATTCTCGACCACTAGGTCTTCCTCGAGATCACAACTAAACCTCTTACTGTGCAGCCCTCGATTTGTTAGGATTCTCCCTTGTATCAAAGTTTATCCGAACCTAATAGAGATAGAATACTGCTGTTAATATGTTACCTCATCTTCATAGGATCTACCATAGAAGGTAGAAGCCTCATCCTTATCCAAACACATGGTTAGAACTCATAGGGGTTTCATCATTGTAATCCTACTAGGAACACACTACATACCTCTATAAATACATCATTTCAATTCATTGTCAAGGTACGTTTTTACATAATTCTTTAACACATATCTTTTCATAAATTCTCTCTCCGACTTAAGTATCAGAGGAGCGACGAGGACACCTCTACGCCTTTATTTCAGGTATCGGAAGACCTCGTTCGTACTCATTCTCAGATGTCAAGCTCAGAAGTCGACGATACGATTTTTGGTAACATCAGTTATAATTAACCAAAATCGACTAGAGGGATGTCTTACTTAAAAGGTCGACTTTGAAACTCTATCAAATATGCATATCAATGTACGTTATCCAGATCCAATCATTTCATGCGAACACAATTTCTTTAAAAAAAGATAAAAAGAAAATAAGTGTGGGACCTTGATTAGATACAAGAATTATCTATGTCACTATCAAGGTTGAATTGGCTTTGGTCATTCCTTCAATCAATTTTTCCATGTCAAATCCCACTCTCTAGGAAATTGGCCAAAAGGTAACATTCTCATTTCCACAAGGTCCAAATTTTTTTTATCGACTTATTCAACTAACAATACAAAATAAAGAGTACAGTACAAAACATCAATAAAAAAGCCTACGAATATCACGATGTGACGATCTGTAATCTTATCCGTTCAATTAGCGAGTGCGAAAGAAAATTTAAAAATTAAATTTCATCTGAAAAATGAGTTATTTAAGTTTCTCGTTCTACTTCCTTTTTCCAGAATTTAATGAAATAGACTATTATACCAAGTCCACTTCCTTTAATGGCAGACCAAAGTGTGTGTACATGAGGTGTTACATTGCAAATGCTAGTCTCAATCAACATTCAAAACTAGTTGAGTTTTATACATTTTTATTTTATCACTTAAATAGTGATTTTTGTGCATTGCCTGTTACTTTTTAACAAGTGCTACAAAATTACAAAAGTCGAAAATTTTATTCATGATTTTTTCAACAAAAATCATTTGTTACAAACATTCTTTTACATAAATCTATAATTCATTGGACTGAGGAAACATATAATTTGTAACCTGTACACGGAGGTACCATTAACATTTCACTTCCTACCATGATACAGTTGAATTCACCAACTCCAGTATTTAAATTTTCCTCATCACCAGCAGCTCATACAAGAGCAGGACTTAAACCGGCCAAGGGCTGCAAACTGGTGGCATAGTCACGGGCCCACAAGTCGTAATGTACGATCTCTTCGAGTGACGGCGAGGATACCAATTCTTCTTGATGCTTATCACAAGTTAGCTCCACTACTTTGAAAATTTCCAGGTAGCTAATTCTGCAACAGGAAAACAGATGTAGGGCAGCGTTTGCAGAGTCGAAAGTAGATGACGAATATGTCAAGCTTGAAGTGTAGAATTGCATAACATCAGCAGTAAAAATGAGAAAAAAAATCTATATATGCTTGGTCAATGGTCAGTACAGGCATAATCTAGTTTTTTGTTTGATGATTTGGAAGCTATGAGTCGAACAATTTAAATTATATGGTTGTCACGCCGTGCAGAAGTTGTAACTATCATAGATTAGACCTTAATCTCAACCCCTAAAGACAAAATTAATGAACAAAACAAAATAGAGACGCAAAGATTGAAAATGGTTCAACCACAATATGAGAGCTACGTCCCCGCTCACCAATGCAAAATTTTCACTATAATCGAGAAATAAGTTTTAAAATGATGAATCTCACATACTGAAAAGAAGGCTCCCCTAAGTTCCTATTTATACTGTAGGAAACTCGAGCAACTTAATACAAACATGTGAATGCTTGAAGGACAACTATCCCCGGAGATTTGTTTTGAGTTTCTATAGGCTACAGATGGAGACTTGAAGCAATGCACGGGCTAGAGAATGAAGATAAGCACAACAGCTGCTCAGAGTTCTTGACTGCAGCATCTCTCAATGAGACTCGCGTTGGTTTGGGTATGGGATACCACATGGGGGACAATTAGATGATAAAAATGATCTGTTTTAACATAATATCAATCTTTCGAATTTTTGTACAACGTTTCCAGATAAGACACGACCCTGCATTTGACCATAATCATCTCGACTCATTAGTTTCAGTGGAGACTAGTACCATTGTCCTCAGTTTTCCACTCTTGCTCATCCAAATGGGTGGCTCATTGTATGGATGGTGCCGTACAAAACTCACCAGTAACTAATAGAAACAGAAATTTACAGCCAGCAAATAAAGTAAGGACTCAAGCTACTTACTTTTCATCAATAAACATTTCTACAGCCTTCTCATTAGCCGCACTAAGAACTCCGGTCATGGTCCCTCCAGCTCGACCAGCAGCATAGGCCAGATCCATGGACGGGTACTTCACATTATCCGGAGTCTTAAATGTAAGAGAACCAACCCTAAATGAACATTCAAACTTAATCTACTGAACCGAAAATAAGTTGAAAATGATTGTGTAGCATCTTTATAATTCTAATGAAAAGAAAAGAAAATAGAAAATTAAGTAATTTCAAATCTGCTTTTCATGAAAGGGGCATGCATGCAATTTACTTGCAAAGATCAAGACGAGGCCAAGTAATCTCAGAACAGTAAATTCTGTCAGGCCAAGATAAAGTGTAGAGAATAGGCAAGCGCATATCAGGCCATCCCAACTGAGCTAATACAGATGAATCCTGTAAAGATTAAGATGATGAGAATGTGTGTCATCACATTCAACGTACTAAGCACAAAAGAAATAGAAGCATATAGCTTATAGTACATGTTAAATTATCCAATTTCCAAGAGATTGGGAAGCTTAAAAGAGGACTGATAGTGATTTACCTGAGTCTCTATCATTGAATGTATGATTGACTGGGGATGAATGACGATCTCAATGTCATCATATTCGGCCCCGAAAAGATAGTGAGCTTCAATAACTTCTAAACCCTTTCAAAATGAAAATGACCAAAATGACCCCTTTTCCAACAGAAGAGGCTTGCCGATTGTAGTTCAAGACTCGAAACGAACGTCAAATATATCACAAAAAGCTAGTGTTCTCGATTTACTTTTAGTGCATATTCAGTCCATGGAACTGAACTCTACAGTTTACAAGTTTTCTATTTTATTTTCCTCAATAAAATCCGCTGCTATAGAGTCCACCTTACGAAACAAGTCTTTACCTTGTTGAAGAGGGTGGCAGAGTCCACAGTTATCTTTTTACCCATATTCCAGTTAGGATGTTTCAAAGCATCTGCTACTTTTACTTCTTTCAATTTATCAACAGGCCAATCCCTATCATTGAAAACATTACGAATGGTTAGCTTTGATTTAACACAACTGAGCTACAGATATAAACGGACAGAAGAAAATTACAGTGGAAGTATAAGAATGATTTTATTGATAGCAATAAATTTACATGTTAAGATTTCATACCTAAAAGCACCACCTGATGCAGTCAAAATAATGCGCCTTAGGGCACCCTCCGGCAAGCCTTGTATACACTGAAGAATGAACAGATACTTCTTAGCAATAATAAACGAAAAAGAAATTATAAAAACAAGCAAACAAATTGTTCGTGCTAATCAATTATACATATGCTAGATAACTAGTTATACCTGAAATATAGCAGAATGTTCGGAATCTGCAGGAAGAATTTTTACATTATACTTGTGTGCAAGAGGAAGTACAAATGGACCTCCAGCAATTAGTGTCTCTTTATTGGCCAAGGCAATGTCTTTTCCTGCTTCTATGGCAGCCACTGTTGGCTAACAAGATAATATACACGTAAAGATTTATGAGAGAAACTTCTTAATGATTTAATTTATGAACTTGGAACTTAGGAAAGGAACATGAGAGACAAGATCGCAAGAAGTAATAGTTGGTATTTGTCTCTCTGTCTCCATGTAAATACTTGTTCGGCTGAGGGCTTCCAACTGCATTGTAAGCTTATCTAATAGTTACCAAAACCAACCCACCATGAATAGGGAAGGTACGGTAATGCTATGAATGACCTAGTATCAAATTCTGGTAATAATACCAACAAAATATGGTTCTCGTGTGTTTCGAGACATGCTGATGTCCACACACTCTTGCCCTTAAATATGCTAGCTGAGAAAATCAAAAAATTTAATGTATAAATTTCAAGGAAAGAAAATATGGTTACCTTCAATCCTGCACAGCCAACTATTCCTGTAACTACGGTGACAGCGTCAGGGTGCCGGGCAACCTTAAACACAAATATCAGTAATCAATGTCTACCGCTAAAAAAGAAGCTAATGTGAGAAATGATAGCTAACCTCAATAACTCCTTGCTCTCCAGGAATTATTTCAGGCTTTTCTTTCACATCGGCTAAAGCCTCCTTGAGTTCACGAACTAATGACTCATTTCTAACGGCAACTAATTGAGGTTTGAATCGCTTCACCTGCATAATGAGGCACCTCATGTTTGGCTAAAATTAATAATAAGCAAAAAAAAAATAAAAAAATGAAGAAGTAAAAGTGCTATTGGAGAGCAAGTAAATACTTGTTTTTAATTTCAGTAAAGACTTCTTAATTAGTTGTTGAACTAAAAATCTAAAAAAAAAAAACCATGTAGTTTCTAATAAAGCTCAAATAAGTTTAGTGTAAAAAAAAAAATTAGTTAAAATGTGTTTTTTAAGCTTAGCCAAACATGTTCTTTCACATAGCTTAAATTGAAGTCATGCAGTTGGCATGGTCTTAATAGCATAGCAGCCTTGTCTCATACGGCGGTGGTTGTAATGATGAACAAAAGCTATTTCATTGATTTCATGACATATGGTTTGCACACCAATTAAATTGAGCGGTCGTGAAACACAAACACTAGGCATTTCTCAAATATAGCCTCCAAAATTAATTGATTATTGACCTGATCAGCAAGAAGAGTCACATTCGAACCAGCAGCAAGTGCCACAACTCTGAACTTATCTGGATTCTCTGCAACTATGTCCAATGTCTGCAGCATATAAACTTGACATGGTTAGCAACCAAAGGTTGTCATCGTATAAACACATATGCGAAGTGATAAATTAAAAATCACTCGTTCTGAACAAATGTGCCTACGTCCACAGTCACAGACAGGCACTCAAGCACACAGATAAAAGTTTCATCTCAGCCTAAGCAGTTACTTTAATCAGATATTTCACCTGGGTACCAATGGAGCCAGTAGATCCAACAATTGAGATAGGCTTTGGACCATCCCAACTTTTACGGCCCGGTTCTGCAACAGCCCGTCCTGGCCAAGCCGGAGGAGGTGGCTGAGCTAAACACTGGACTCTCTTTGCAGCAGTCCTTCCACATTCCTTCTTTTTCAAAGCAAAGCCACCTGAAGGAATTCACCAAAATACACAAAATGCTGAAAATAGAAAAAGAATCATCCTTAAAAAATCTCTCAAACCAAAAGACAGAAAGGTAATTAAAGTTTCAGATTTTATCTGTCTTGGATAAATAATCTAGGCAGATAAAGAAAGCAAAGAAGAATCAGACTTTTAAACTAACAAATCAAAAACTCGAATACAGAAATATAGACAGCCCACGAAGACAAGAAACCCAAAAAAAAAAAAAAAAACTTAAGGGCAATTATAATATGCTGATAATTGCAAAAATTAAAAATACAACCAACCCTGCACCTATGTATCAATTTCTTTTCTGTCATACAGAACAAAATTCTACATGATATACATGGAACAGAAAAGCACAATTAAGCTCTCCAATCGAGTTCCACTCAACAATTCAAACATGCCAAAAACATTAATAAACCAATGAGACACATAAACACACGAATATGTATAGGAAGAGAACCTCGGAATTTGAGGAGATTAAGGTTATGATTGGATTTAGAGATGTCGAGGAAAGAGAAGGACTTGATATCTGTCGGCGAGAGCAAATTCAGAGCCATGGTGTGTCACTCTACCACCAGTCAAATACTCTTGCGCAGTGTGTTGAAATTTGAAAATGGAAGGTTTGTGTTAACTCAAGAATATGAAATGGAAGGTTTGTGTTAACTCAAGAATATGAAATCTTTACAAGGAGAGAGAGAGGGAGAGAGACACAGTGAGTTGTGAGATGCAAGTACTGTATGGATTAATTTGTCCAGTATCGTGCGTGTCACGAGGCGCAACCTACGAGAAGCTAAAATCAAGAAAATAATGGATCATGAAAATTTTTCATTATTTATTTATTTTATTTTGTGTTGACTTTATAATTCGCTTATTTGTACAAATGTTCCTGATGTATGACTCTCGTGTAGAATCAGAACTTATCATTTCGATTTTGAGTGCGAAATTGATCTTTTATGCAACTTTCATCCACTTTGTCCTATAAATGGCCCCGTGCTTCACTAGCATATAATTTAAAAAATAACGATATCCAGTGGTACTATAATGTCTTTGTATAAATAAATCGTAAATCTTTGTATTTAATTAAATATATAATTGAATGACACAATTGATGTCACTTAAACCGATGTCCATTATGATATTATCTCGCCTCTTCGTGAATTTCTCCTCTCTAGAAGTCAGCGGCGAAGCCCTATTAGGTTTGGCTAATGAAGATCTTTAGGCAAGGTACATTGCCTTGTCAATTATCCTCACTAGATAGCCCTTGTTTGGCGTTGTTAATAAATTGTTTAGCATTCGTCAAACTCATTTTTATTCACCACATATTTCATAGAACTTACTTCATTATACTATAATAATTCCAAATAGCTTTTTAAGGAGGAACTAGTAATAAGTTACAATGTGCGAATAACTATTAATCTGCATTGCAACTCTTTCAAATATATTATGAAACAATTTATACAATAATAATCTCATTAGTTAGCCCTCAAAGGAAATTAAAATCAGATTTTTAATAGATTTTGATAAAAGTTAATGAAATACGCGATTCAAAAATTTTCGATCACATAAAATATATGTTTAAACTTAATGAGTAATGCTATTCATCCCCACTGAGATTACAAACAAATTTTAGGTGGCGTTAATGTGACATTAAATGATAAGTTTTAATTTCACATTTCATTTAACATATTATTTAACGCCACCTGAACTGTGTTTGTAACCCACTAGGGAGGAATAACATTACTCAAAATTAATCGCTAAATTTGACTTAAATTAAACCTTATTATATAACCGCCACTAATTCCATGAACTATTTTATTTGAATAAACGCATAATAAATAATCTAAACGTGTACGCTTCCTATTCAGTGAGAGAAATGGTCGGCCAAAGGTGCGCACCTGCATAAAGCGTCCCCTTTATGTGAAAAATAAAAAGAATTCGGACGTGTTAAACTTTAATTGCATTCGTGTCAAATATTTGTTGGTCCAAACATACAACAATCTCTAAATATTAAATTTATAAATTGAGCTTGTGAACAAACACTTGTGTGTATCATCAGCAAATGAATAGTCAAGAAGGTCCATGACCTAGATTGATGATCTCCATTGCACTTTAGAGTGATATTGGCCTAAGGTCCTCGATTAAGAGAGCTCGACTCATAATTTGTGATGGTTTAACGTTCACAGAACACGTATTTGCTCGAGCTTATAATTTATATACAACTATAGTAAGTTAACAAAAAAAAAAAATTTGTTTATAGTCAAAATTAAAAATAAGTGACTTATTTTGGCATATCAAAATAGATGACTATGTTAACTTATAAATAATTAAAGTAATAATTTATCCAATTATGTTTATAAATAATAACTTTCAAGCTTAGCCAAACCTATCATATTCATTGAATCTAGTCCTAAATAAAAATTGAATATGACAATAACATAAATGGGGGCCATGTGAAAAACACCTAACATGCAGATGGTCAATTGAAGCACAATGAAGCAATCTCTTTTCTTCTCATACTCAGTGAATAATTAAGAAGGCAGTTGTAATAGCAAAGATAATATCTCTTTGAGCAAGAAATAGTGTCCAACTCAACAAGACGACGTAAAAATATTCATGTAGTTGAGTTGCCGTCAATCTCGAGTGAAAAATATTGAAAAGTAACATTCAGAGTGTATTTGATAAAAAATATGTATTTAAAATAGTGATATGATAAAAAATATGTAGTTAAAAAATAAGAAAAATTATTTATGCGGTGAAAAATATTATTTTATTGAAGAATGTGCGGTTGACAATGAATTATGAAATAATATATTTTGAAAAAATGTGTATCTAACGAGAACACTTGTGTTATTCCGAGCAGTATTGTACACCAAATATGTACTAACTATCCATTTGCCAGAGCAACAAGGTTTTCCTCAGAACTAAAGAAATAAATTACTTATTTGGCAGTACTCATTGTTTAGGTTTAGCCAAACAAGATCTAAGGTAAGAAACAAATAGTCAATCACAATATAAGAGAGAGGTTAAATAATCAACTTATTTGACCATATAATCTCATGTTACTGTAGATCACCTCCATAGTGTATTTGATCTTCTCCAACTAAATAATACAGATGTACAAATCGACATAAAATTTCTTCGCGATCTCTTCGATTATTGTCATAATATGTATTACCAAGTGACATACGTACCTGATATCAATGTAAAATAGTGTCCTCAGTTAATCATGTTTCAAAATACGAATTGTCTTCTTCTCTTTGTATCTCACTCGAGTTGAGCCCTGAAGTTCCTCCATTGGCATTCACTACACCACCTGATTCAGAGATTCTTGTGATCTGGTGCAACTCATCTGTTACATCTGAAGAACGAGCCAGCAATTGGTCATCAGTCAATTGTTCTTTCGAATGAAATGTCTTCTTTGGCTGCCGAATGGCTGCAGTGGCTTCTTGCATAGCAACAGGTGGTGGCTGGGGAGGAACCCACGACCGCTGAACTGGTCGCTCATTGCTAACTACATTGGAAGATCCAAACCTCTCTTCATCACCAGCTTCAATTTCAGTGATTCGGGCATTTTTCTGTTCCCACCAAGGCACTTTATTGTCTGCAATTGACTGATTATCATTGAACTCATGATATCCACCGCTTACTTGCGACTGAAGAAAATTGCTGGAGCTGTTTGGAGCTTGACCAACCTCCCAAGGCTGTTCACAGTACAGGATAGTGTACTGTTAGTAAATATCTGTGGAGCTGATAAATTATCACGACGTTACCTTATTCGTATTATCATTTATCAGTCAACAAGGCAAACTCGAAAATCTAGTAAAATAAATAAATTTTTACTCGGTTCCCTAGTGTTCCCTAGTCCTGCTCAATAAATTAAACGAACTTCTCTTTTCTTTTATAATTATTCCAGAAGATGGGAGGGCGGAAGTAATGCTCAAAAGAATGAATGACTGGTTGAACAAATTAGCAAACTTGAAGCCAAAAGAATAGGAAAAACAAGACAAATAGAAACGTTAAAAGACGAACCTTAGCCCTTGGTGCTAAAAGAGGATTTGGTACCGGTTGATTGGGATTTGGAGGTGCATCATTGATCTCCTGAGACAAGATAATAAACATGAAAATTTCAAAACTAAAACCAAGAAATGTCAAACTACTACGTTAACGGAGTGGACTAACTCTAATGTTGGATGGCTTCTCCCCTCTTTGAATCATAGCCATAATCTGTAAAATCATTCTGTTTATTAGGGAAAATTCACGATCACGAACACGTAAATCTTCTTATCTATAAAACTTCAGGTAGCAACCGGGAGTAAAATATTTACCTCCATATATGATTTTGGGTGTGGAGCAACAGACGGTTCCACAGGAGCAGGCGGAGACAAAGATCTCACTGATTAAAGAATATTCAATATATCATGGATATTAAGGAGCAAGTAAAATCTGAACAAGGAAAATCAACAATTGATCAAAAAATATACCTGAACGTGGATCATCATTCATCTTGCCATTGGCGTAAGGTACCTGGAAAACCATGAAAAATATGGAATAAAACAACAGGAAGACTCATTCATAAAAGTTAGCTTCAAATATTTTCATAAATTTTATGCTGATAAACGATAATCAGCTCACCCTCAAACTCCTCTGTGAGACCCTTTGATCATCTTGTTCTTCAACAGTAATTCTTCCATGCATAGTACTTTGCCCTGATATTAACAGAGAAAACGGACCACTAAGCAGAAATTCATTGATGAGACGATCCGTGGAAAAAACACTGATGTAAAGAAGATGATAAGAAAGAAATCAAGAATCATATTACCCAAAAAAAAAAAAGGTAGATAAAAAGAGGATGTGAATAGTTAAGGGAGGTGAATAAATAGGGTCTCTTGGCTTTGGTCTCCATTACTTGGCTCCACGATAGCATGATGCAGTTCATTCTCTGTCCAGCAAAGAAGATGCCATGTGTCCCTGGCACCTTTTTTAATTAATTTAAATTACACAGACTCACAAATTCAAATCAACCATTTATTCCCATCGCGGAAAAGAAAGTTTATCCATAGTCGTTGAAATAATTTTTTTAGACTGAAGTGGGAAGAGAAGGAGAGAGCTAATAGGGATCATGAAGTTCCAAAAGAAAAATAAGGGTCATGATGAACACGCGCTCAGGACACATGGTCCACGAAAAACAGCACTTCATGAGTTAGGAGGAAGTTACAGGTGTAGAGCTAAGTATCATATGCTTAATGAATCATTCTTTTTACTTGGCCAATTGATAGAAACATGAAAGGCCTCAAAAGAAACACGTTGATGTCAACTATATTGAGGAAAATTCCAATATACAAAGAATGTTGAACAAACACAAAGGCCACTGAAACTGGAAGCGAGCTCTCAAGTGATGTATCCGGCTAATTCTTGATAACTGTCTACACATTTGCACGCTACTTGACTTGAGGTAAGAAATAAAATAAGTCAAATCCCAACAAGGGGGAAAAAGGCACATACACAAAAATTTCAAACATGTGCACAGAAAGCAATTTCTTTACTAACCTTCCAGTTT